AATAAATATTCGCGCATGCATACACACCATACAAATGAGTAAAGCAGAGGAAAATTCTGCCAATGCACAAAAAAGTCTCCCAAAGGTATTACCTTTTGTTGAGATCTTATTTGATCCTTCCTGAAGAACAGATGGGTAGGTGGGTGTTGTAACGTTGCCACTCCAGTTTTTGTTCAAGGAAAGCTAGAGATCTCAGAGTATGAGGACTGACTAGCAGTGCCACCAGTTGCAGAACAGGGACCTGAAAAACAGGTAATGGGAGTCCTCTTGCTATAACCTCCAGGTGTGAAGATTCAATATGTGAGGTGTTCAACGTAACCAGTGATTTCTGCAATGCAGGTGGTCAAGAGCGATTAAATTGCACTGCCTCTGGAGTCTGGTAGTGGAAGAATGTGAGTGCTGAATACTAAAGATGGAAATCCAAGGCTTTTTATGAGGCATTAGCTAGGAAACTGTCCTCTCTTCTGCTTCATTTTTTCTAGTAGATACTGAGGATCTTTAATTAATCCTTTATTAACCAAAAAGCAGGAGCAAAACTGGCAAGGCTCATCTTTCTTATGCAAGTATGCAAACTACCTGGCAAAGAGGGCAAAAAATAGGTGTTGGATGTTAATTAGGTATGTGTTTAGTGGCAGTTATAACATGTTCAGACTCTTTGCCTCTGTCTCCTCTTACACCCATTGTGACCTAATTAATGTTGCCGCATACACCTACAAATAACACTGATCAGTGATGGTGGCTAGCTGGAGTTGCATTCCTTGCCCTTTGCAATAGATGTCTTTCCAGCTGTGGCCCATATGCTCCATATGTTTCCTATGCCCTATAGGATTGCAAGCGTTATGGCCAGGCTTCTTTTGGCCAACTTTGAAATGAACAGGTAGTAAACATGCTGGAACATACACACATATACAAGCGGGAATGTTGTACAGACCTGTATAGCCTGAAGCCTGCCAACGAGGGAAATAGTATGCTTTACTGGGACCCAGAAATCTGAAGAAAGATGGCACAAGGACGGTTGCCTCAAGGAGGTGGGGAAGAATGAGGCTATATTGTAGATTTTTTGTGAGCCTATATATGAAAACATATTTCACTGTAGCTTTTTGAAGGACTGTCATATGGAGGATAGAGCAAACCTATTTTCTATGGATCCAGAGAGTAGGGCCGGTTACAAGAAAGGTTTTGCCTGAACCTTGGGGAGAATGTCTTGATAATAAGAGCTGTTAAGACAGTGGAAATGACTACCTCAGGAGGCAGTGAACTTGCCTTCATAGAGATTTTTAAGCAGAAACTAGATAACCATCTGTTAGGGTTGCCTTCGTTGTGGACGTCCTGCACCAGCAAAGAGTTGGATTAGACCATCCATGGCATCCTTTCTAGGTCTGCAATTGTATCATTCTATGGGCTTATGGTCCCACTCTTGTGCTATTTACTGGCTCCAATCAAATACAAACCCTATTCTGGAATGCTACAAGCTGGCACTGTGAATACCCTTGTGGGGTGTGTGTGCTTAGGCCTGCACCCTCTGAGATCATTTCTCCCATGATTACAGCACCAGATATTAGAAAGAGAATTGTCATATTTGCATGTTAATGAGAAGCATGTCCTGTGCTTGCTGTTAATTATTCAGCTTTTCCCTCATAAAAGAAACATGCAGCATGGTCATTTTACCTTTTCCAAAGAAAAGGGTGAGACTGGGCAAATTTCTCTATGGTTTTCTGTGCACTAAAAGGAGAATAACCATATTCCAAATTTTTCTAACCCTTCCACCCAACCCTTGCCTGCCCAAGCCCTGTGACCTTCCTTCCTTCTTTCCTTCTTTCATATCAGAGTGTTGCATAATTTAAAATCACACCCAGAATTTTAAATTGCACAACACTCTGATATGAATCATTGTGCTTCAAATATCACAAGTAGCTTAATGATTGTTGACACAGATAGTTGCTACTTGTAGATAAGAAAGTAATAAAAGTACAGTATTACATATATTTTTCACATGCAGTCCTTCTCACATTTTGGATGCTGGCTCTTCCCTCTGGAGTTCTGTATTCTGCTAATGTGAAAGAGGTGCAGTGTACAGATGTACACCTACTTAACAATGTTTTTCTTTGATGATAAATATGTGGCCTCTAGAGAGTTTAGCTATTTGGCACATTCTTAACTGGCAGAGTGAGAGAATGTGGTTAGCTTCTGGAATCCCACATCACCACATATTATTCGTTGAATGTATGTTGCTGTCTATATGAATACCTCTGAACAAGTTGTGGCATTGAGATAACTTTTTACGTGACATCTTAAGTAAGAAAGAAGTTGAGGGCTGTCATTTTGCTGCTTTGCAAAAATGCTGATGAAATTTGGAGCACAAATACAGAAAATACACACACTCTTCTGAGTTTTATAAGGAGATGCAAACAGCTACTTTGGGAGTGACAGCAAGGAGTAAGGCAGCTTGTGACCTTTATTCCATGTACCTATGTGGTATTGTTTTAAGAGACGTGTCCGGTTTGCTGGCTATGTGTACATGAACGATTGCAAACTAGGTGTGTACAAATTGCTGTGACCACATCCATGCAATAGAACAAAATTGTTTCCAAGTGTTTCAACTTTGCATACAAAGGTCCGCATAGTCAAAGCTATGATTTTTCTTGTAGTTATGTATGGAAGTGAGAGCTGGACCATAAAAAAGGTTGACCGCCGAAGAATTGATGCTTTTGAATTGTGGTGCTGGAGGATACTCTTGAGAGTCCCCTGGATTGCAAGGAGAAAAAACCTATCCATTCTGAAGGAAATTGACCCCATGTGCTCACTGGAAGGACAGATCCTGAAGCTGAGGCTCCAGTACTTTGGCCATCTCATGAGAAAAGAGTCCCTGAAAATGACCCTGATGTTGGGAAAGTGTGAAGGCAAGAGGAGAAGGGGATGACAGAGGATGAGATGGCTGGACAATGCCATTGAAGTTACCAACATAAATTTGACCCAACTCCGGGAGGCAGTGGAAGACAGGAGGGCCTGGTGTGCTCTGGTCCATGGGGTCATGAAGAGTCAGACACGACTTAATGACAAGAACAACAATTGCAAATGACCTTCAGATTCAAGAAAACAACTATGTAACAGGGGAAATTGATGTGGACTTCAGATGATGAGGGCAGCCAGGTGTATATTCCCCATTCGACATCCCCCCTCCCGGAAACCTGAACTGAACGAGGAGACAAAAACCTGTAAGAATCAGGACAATGGTTGTGAATCGATATTCTTTGATGATGTACATCAGCTTCCTATGTCAGAGAATAATAGTTATAGGACTATCAATGAGCCTCATTGTAATACCAATGAAGAGGCCGACACCAACAAATCAAGTCACCTGATGGTAATTCGGGACCTCTGATTTGATATAAAAGACCTAGCAATAGTTATGCTAGGATATTTGAGGAAGAAGGAGCAGCTCATATCCAACAGTGAATCACAGCAGAGATAACAAAGAAGGCAGACCATGGCTCATATTCAGCAATAAGGGAACAAGGCTCCTCAAGAGGGTATCCCAATACTAGTTATAATTGGGAATAGGAATAGAAGTAGATGGGTAAGTTTTATGGGAGGAAGATCAGGGGGAAGGAAGAAAATAAGTAGATGTGATGATAGCAATAATGGGTTGGTGGATAAAAAAATTGACCAGAGATACAGGAGGTTGCATATTGAGTGGCAAGAACAGGCTAGTAGTTGGCCTAAAGGGAGATCATATTACAATTGACCCCTATCCTTAGTATCTTGGAATATCATGGGGTGGGTAGGTAGATTTAGGGATGGTTGTATACATGATTATCTAATTAGACATGACATTTTATTGTTACAAAAGACATGGACCTCTGAATCCCCAACTTTAGAAGGTTTCTAAGCCTATGGAATAACTGCAAAGCTATCTAATCATGGTAGGGCTGGGGGGGGGTAGGAATATTAATTTCTACTGCATTAAAAGTTAAAGTTGATGTTAT